TTTTGGAGAGCACCCTTAGGCTTGGGATTCTCCATCTTCTCCCGTAAATGAGGTGGGTTCTTTGAGAAGAGACTAGGAGCTGCCTGTTTTACAGCCTGCTTTTCTTCCTTGTCAGAATCTCTGGGCCAGGGAACTGCAGTGAGATGGGGACAATGACACACTTATTTCGGAGTGACATTTCACTTTACGAGCTGAGCAGTAAGTGGAGGAAGGGCAGTTGACTGATGTCTTCTCAGCTTGCCTCTCTTGGGTGTGGAACCTCTGCCCAATGAGGCAGAACAAGAGCAATCAGGTCCCCAGTATTCTCATCAACCCTGTACCCACTGTAGAGCCCACATTCCACAAGTAGGAGCTAGTGGAGCAGAAAGCCTGCACCTGTCAACTGCACTTGCTTGGAGCTTAAACTCAGTAACAGCTAACGGGGGGCAGGGTGAGAAATGCTGACATCCTCCTTCCCTGACTAGGGACAGGAGCCTGTGGTTTTGGCCGCAGTCTAAAAAAGGAGTCTAGGGAAAGAGAGAGTGGTCTTGGTTCACATACCAGACTGTTAACTTTTCTTACTGAATTCTCATAGAACTTCTTGAATGCCTGTTTCCTCAGCTGTATGCCCTGGGGACTATTTCTAGAGGCTTGAAATGATGGTTTAAGAAGTAATTTCCTTTAAAGGTCCACAGTGTACCACATATTGTCATACAGTCGTGTTCTTTCTTCTTTCTTTCTTTCTTTCTTTCTTTCTCTCTCTCTCTCTCTCTCTCTCTCTCTTTCTTTCTTTCTTGTGTGTGTGTTCACTTTTTAAAATTTTTCCAACTAGTGTTGTTATTAAATGGAAAGGTAATGGGTTTTATTGTCATCTTGTGTTTTTATTCTAGAATCTTGCTAAAAACCTTACTCTTTGGTTCTTTGTGTTCTTTTGGGGCCCAAAAGAACTAACAATGCATATACTTGTTAGTGCTAAGGGTAACAATTATCTTCCTATTCTTTTGTAATTCTGCATGTTTGTTTATTTTCAGGTGGCACTAGATTGGATCTCTAGTATAATCTTGACTAGGAGTCAGGTAATGGGAACGTAGTTTTGTACTTTTTTTGGTAGAAAACAATGAACTTGGGATGGCAGGGTGGCTCAGCAGTTGAATGTCTGCCTTTGGCTCAGGGTGTGATCCCAGGACCCTGGGATCAAGTCCCACATCGGGCTCCCTGCAGGGAACCTGCTTCTCGCTCTGCCTGTGTCTCTGCCTCTCTCTGTGTGTGTTTGTCATGAATAAAAAAATAAAATCTTTTTAAAAAAAGAAAACAACTTCACTTCATTTGTACGTTCTCTTTTGAATAATATTTTATTTTTTTTATTTTTTTAAATAATATTTTTAAAATGATGCCCTTTATTGGGCTATGCATCTTACCATCAGTTCCCCTATGGTATGAGATTCTTTATGTTTCTGTTGAGTATTATAAAATTGCTTTCATCTTAAGATGATTTCAGGTAGATTGTATTAATTGATTATAGTTTCATCGTAAAGTATAACACATGCCTAAAAGTACATAAGACACATTAGACGGTCCATGGAAATAATAAAAAATAAACACCTGTGAAATAAAATCCAACCCTAGACCTAGAACAGTTCTTAACATCAGACACTCCACTGAGAGTGATTCCTTCCTCTCCAATAGTAATATCCATGCTTTTATCGCCTGTGTATCCATCATTAAATAAAGATACTCTGGGCAGCCTGGTTCAGTGGTTTAGCGCCACCTTTGGCCCAGAGTGTGGTCATGGAGTCCCAGGATGGAGTCCTTTGTCAGGCTCCCTGCCTGGAGCCTGCTTCTCCCTCTGCCTGTGTCTCTGCCTCTCTCTCTCTCTCTCTCTCTCTCTCTCTCTCTCATGAATAAATTAAAAAATCTTAAAAAAATAAAAAAAGATACTCTAATTTTGCATGTTTTATAATGCATAATGGAATCACAGTGTATATGCTATTTTATGTTAGACTTCTTTTGTTTAAAGTTATTTCATGGTCTTCTATGGAGTAATAATAGTTGATTAACCTTTATCACTCTCTTGTATTCACTTGTATGGATATACCATTATTATTTAATAATTAATTAAAATAATTAATTAAATAATAATAATTTAGTTGTTTCCCAAGAACTTAATCCACATATAGCCCCCTACATTCCCCTAAATAATGGGGTTGATGGAAACCCTATTATTCCAGTTTTTACTGTGAGAAATAATCAGTCATTAAATCTTCTCATTTTGTCTTGCCCTGACTTCAATCTGTGAGGAATCTGTAGCTCTTACCTGTTTCTCCTGCACATCCCCCTGTGGCCACCTAGTATGACCTGCCTTCTTCTCATCTTGTTATGACTTTCTTTTCCTAACAAGTATTCTGGTCTCTGTACCCGCCCTCTACAGTCTAGATTCAGTGCAAGTGATGGGTCATTAAAGCTATAAGATGACATCACTCCTCCATGCAAAAGCCTGAAGTAGTTCTGAATTTCTCATAGATTCAGATCTGACTAGTTCCCCACAAGATGATGTACTCCATCTCCCATCACTCTCCACCATCCTTGACTGTTACCCCCCATCTCACTTTACTCCAGCCTCTGGCAATGTGTCTTAGCCTAGTCAGGCTGCTATAATAAAATACCAAAGAGTGGCCTATAAACAACAGAAATTTATTTCTCATAAATGTGTAGACTGGGAAGACCAAGATCAAAGCACCAGCATTCCTTGGATAGAATGAACTGTCTTGGCTTCTTATAACTTCAGCATGTATGTGTATGTACTCAAAATTAATGCACACCAACACCAAGGGTCATGAATGTGGATATTATGGAAAGGTCTAAGTTCTAATGTCTTCTTCCCTCTTTCTGAGTTCTCATGTCTTCCTCTTTCCTCCTTTTTCTCAATACCTCATCTGTCTCAAATGAAGGGGACATAAAAGAAGAAAGAGTAGCAACTTATTCTGTGATAAATAATATACATTAATAATACACATATAGGGCAGCCTGGGTAGCTCAGTGGTTTAGCACCGCCTTCAGCCCAGGGCGTGATCCTGGAGACCCAGGATTGAGTCCCACATTCGGCTCCCTGCATGGAGCCTGCTTCTCCCTCTGCCTGTGTTTCTGGCGCTCTCTCTCTCTCTCTCTCTCTCTCTCTCTCTCATGAATGAATAAATAAAATCTTAAAAAATAATAATACACAAGTTAAAATTAGCATGCCTCCAGAAAAATGTCTTTATGCGCCCAGTTGAACTTGTGTGTTTTGAATGGAGTACATCAAGACAGGGTCAGGTAGCCCACATTGCTGGTTGAGTTTCCCCCTTGGGCCTCTCACTGTTGGTGAGGAGAAATGAAGGAAAAACTCCTTCAGTGTGTTTTTATTTATCAGAATCTCATCAATATTTAAGCTTGTGGCTTATGCAGTGCTAAGAGATGTGGTGGGCAATAAGAAAAGAGGTAAAATCATTTTTGTCACAAAGAGTTGATCGTCATAAAATAGTAATATTTGTTTCATTTGTATAGCACTTCTCTAATTTCTCCAATGTGTTTTGGACTATTCTAGACTTTTCAAAGCCAGGGATCACACAGGAAGGGCCACAGTAAAAATGGAGAGAGAAATAAGTTCAATGTGTTAATGATATGTTAAGACTATGATACAGAGAATGAGTGTGGACATAGATTAGATGTGGGGAGGCTAAAGAATCTTGTTTGAACTTCCTGTGAACTTGAGTCCACTTTCCCTGTGTTGTCAATGTCATTCATTCTCCTACAATTATGTCATTTGTTTTAGGACTCAGTGGTCTTTGAAGATGTGATTGTGGACTTCACACGAGAGGAGTGGACTCTGATGAATCCTGCTCAGAGGAAGCTCTACAAAGATGTGATGCTGGAAACCTTCAGGAACCTTGTCTCAGTAGGTAAGGAGGCATCAATCCTTCATTTAGTTATGTAGAGAATAAGTATTTATTATTCATTAAGCCTATTTCAAGATTTGGAATATAGAAGGAAAACACATTCATAAATAAAACAGGCGAAATCACAGCTGTCATGGATCTAGAGTCTACATTTCTCTGTGACAGTAAAAATCTATATACTGGTAAAAAACTGTGTTTTTTACTTTATTGTTTAAAATACTTAGGGTCCTTCAGTGTCATTAGTCTGGGTATATATCCATGGGTCACTTTGTGGGCATTGAGAAGTTTGCTGTTTGAAACCTTGTGGTTTTCTGTGCATATTAGATTGCCTTCATTTTGACCTTCTGTGCCTCTAAATAATGAAATTTTGAAACAGCTAAACTAAATGTATTTCTTTGCTCATATGTGCCTTTCTTATAAGATTTATTCACTGTTTTGTTTTAGATGATGAGACTCAACTGAAAATCAATGGGTCTATTTCTCAGCAGGATATTTTTGGAGAAAAATTATCCAATGAACAGAAAATAGCAAGGTTCATAAAAAATGATTCCTGGACCTCCCTTTTTGGAGAAAATTGGGAAGACCAGTGCATTGAAGATAAGTACAACAATGAGGAGGGACACTTGAAGTAAGTTGCATTTAGGAGAAAATTCAATATCCCAGTAGAGAATCTTACTATTTCATGGAATTAAAAAACAAAAACAAAAAAACTGATAAACCTAGCTCCAGATTTGTTCATTCACAAATCCCTCCCTTTTTTCCTTCGTGTGACTCAGACATTAAGCATTTGAAAGATAATTCAGTGGGAAGCAATTATCAGGGGACCCTATATGAGAAACGCTGTTGTAATAATGGGCTGTGCTTAAGTCCATTCCCAAAGCAGCTAGTTTATTCCACTTTGAAATAATTCTGACAGGACAAAAAACCCCACATTAATACAGAAAATGGTATAAATGTAATCCTAGCAATCATTAACAAATATTAATAAATCATAAATACACAAACTATTAATAATGTGCTCTCCCCACATTCTTTTTTCAAAGCAGAAGTCATATGGTGGAGCGACTCTGTGAAAGTAGCATCGGTAATATGTGTGGAGAAGCCATCAGCCATATTCCAAACCTTAAGCTGTACAAGAAAACTCCTAGTGGAGTAAAACTGTATGAATGCAGTCAGTGTGGAAAAGTCTTCAGGCATCGTTCATCCCTTAAGAGGCACAAAAGGAGTCATGCTGGATACAAGCTATATCAGTGTGAGGAATGTGGGAAAGCCTTCAGTTGTTCTTCATACCTAAGGAATCATGTGAAAACTCACAGTGGAGAGAAACCCTATGCATGTAAACTTTGTAGAAAAACATTTATTCGTTCCCATTCCCTCACTGGACATATAAGGAGTCACACTGGAGAGAAACCTTATGAATGTATGCAATGTGGGAAAGCCTTCAGTTGTCCTAAATCCTTTCGAGTACATGTGATGATGCATAATGGTGGGAAACCCTATGAATGTAAGCAGTGTGGAAAAGGCTTTAGCTGTCCCAAGTCTTTTCGAGTACATATGATCATGCACACTGGAGAGAAACCCTATGAATGTAAGCAGTGTGGGAAAGCCTACTGTTGGCTCACATCCTTTCAGAGACATGTGAGAATTCACAATGGAGAGAAACCCTATAAATGTGAAAAATGTGGGAAAGCATTTGGTTGGCCCTCATCCTTACACAAACATGTCAGAATGCACACTGGAGAAAAACCTATAAATGCAAGCAATGTGGAAAGGCCTTCAGATGGTCCTCATCCTTCCAAAAATGTAAGAATGCAGACTGGAGAGAAACCCTATAAGTGTGATACGTGTGGGAAAGCATTTGGTTGGTCTTCATCCTTACACAAGCATAACAGAATGCACAATGGAGAGAAACCCGTAAATGTAAGCAATGTGGGAAAACTTTCAGGTGGCCCTCATCCTTCCAAAAATGTAAGGATGCAGATTAGAGAAAAGCCCTATAAATGTGAAAAATGTGGGAAAGCATTTGGTTGGTCCTCATCCTTACATAAACATGTCAAGAAACACGGTGGAGAGAACCCTATAATTGTAAGCAGTGCAGGAAGGCCTTCAAATGGCCCTCATCCTTCCAAAACCATAAGGATGCAGACTAGAGAGAAATCTCATAAATGTGAAAAATGTGGGAAAACTTTTAATTGTCCCAAATCCTTTCATAGTCATGTGAGAACTCATAGTCCAAAGAAAACTTATAAGTAATGTGAGAAAACCTGATGCAAATTAATTTGTGTAAAACTGTATGGAAAATCCACACCAAAAGAGAAATCTTATAAAAGTTACAAAGATGGTATCTCATCCTTAATGTGGACCTCTAGCAAGTGAATTTCTGTATCTCTTCAACTAAACATTGAGATGAGAATTCTCAAGTATTCTAAGTATATCTATATATAGTACATGAATTTTGATATATTATGGATTTTTTCGTTCATGAATTCAGGTGATATTTCTGTTTCCATTTTGAAATGTGATGCAGCCATGGGTGACTTGATGTGTTTTAAATATGCATTAGGTTTAATTTTATATAGTTTTTAAAATTATTCGGTAAGTATGGGGCCTTTAGGCTACTGTAACATTGGTATTTGTTTTGATTTTCTTATGGGCCCAGTGTGTTCCAAACTGGGTTTCACCTTCCCATTACATATATTCCATCTTATTATCTTCCTGAGAGAACCTACAACTTTTAAAGTTGGCACTTCTTTGCTTACACAAGGTATGTATTCTCAACACCCCCCCTTTTTTTTTGGCTAGAGGATCATTATTCCATTTTTCTGGCTTGCAATTTTGTAAATATGCAAGCTGGTAAAAATTTATAGGTATGCAATGGTCTTGAAAGAGTATAGTTTCATTTGAACTATTATTTCCATCTGCTGCTGTATTGTCCTGGCTTCTGGTTAGGAAGTGGACAACACATTTGAATTAAGAAGGGAGACAATGAGGGGCACCTGGGTGGCTCAGTCAGTTAAGCATCTGCCTTGGGCTCAGGTCATTATCCCAGGGTCCTGGGACCAAACCTCACGTGGGGCTCCCTACTCAGTGGGGAGCCAGCTTCTCCCTCTCCCTCTTCCCCTCCCCCTTGCTTGTGCTCTCTCTCAAATAAATTTTTTTAAGGAAGAGAGACAATGAAATCTAGAGGGGAGATGGTTCTGTTGGATAGTGTTCTATCAGCACAGATAAGGCTAGGAGCTACATTTCCCAGGATGCCTTCTCTATATGGTCCCATGATAGAATTCTGTAAGAGCCTAGCTTGCATGAGATTTGGAAGAAACAATTTCAGCTTATTGAGCCACCACCATATGAGGAGATAGACAGATGCATAGGGGCTTTGTGGGCACCATCTCCAGCTTATTTTCCTGATTGCTAGTCTTGCTGATCAAAAGTGTCCTTAAAATGAACAACTGTATGACTCCCATTCTGTCAGAGGGGTAGGCTTTCACATCCACCCTACCAGCTTTCCCATCACGGATGCACCTCCATGGTTAGATGTCTACAGCTTGCATTTTCCTGAAAGCCCTGTACTGTACTGATTAGGACATCATGGCTGTTGCTCTTATCTAATATGTTCTGACCTCTCTTCTCTGGATCGTAAGATATTCATATCACATCTGATTTGTATGGTGAACAGCTCATCCTCTTAATATTTCTCATGCTTCTATGTTTCTGATTCTACTAGAACAGATGCAGTGTTGCATCCTAACAACATATGGGACTGTGTTTCCCTTCAGCATCATTGAGCAGCTACCCCAAACCAGTATTTCTATGAAATAAATAAGCATTACTGACATACTGGGCAGACTGTGTGGGTTTCCTGTTACTCCGCACTGAATACAATCCCTCAGGGTGTGTTCAATTATTAAGATTGAGCATGTGTGGTTAGATACAATGTGTTATTTTTTGGTTGAACAAATGCTGTGTTTCTGAAAAATATTCTATTAATTGTTTTCATGAGTTATGTACTTTGTTTCTGAGAAATCTTATTAACTATGTTTTCAAATGTATACTAATAAATGTCAATCTCTTTACTGAAAATACAGTAAAATATTGCAACTCTGAGCTGTCAAATCAACCTTGTAACTGTGAATTTAAGATTTGTACATTCTGAGTCAATATTTACCAGGTGCATAGAAATTTAGGCAGTTTTCATACTAGTATATTTTATTTGTATATAGTTATAATTGTTTCAGCATAACTTCTTATTCATAATAGTAAAAACTTAAATATAATAGTTGTAGCAATTTAATTAGGTAGCAAATAAGTCTAGCAAATGATATAAAAATATTCTGATGAGAAAGTATTTTAAACTTTGTTGGAAAATATAAAAGCAGATGAAGTAAAATATAAACTATGACAATGGAGCTAAAGGGGTGAGGAACAAAGGATAGAGGTCTCAGCGAATGAGGATATCATTGATTCATGTATACTTACACTACCTAATACGCCTTAGATCCTTTTTGGAAGTGTTCAAAAGTGTTAGTAAATAGTGGGTGGTGATACAGGAATAATTCTCCACTCATCAAGTTATCAGTAATTATTTTCCATAAAAGTGAAGATATAGTTCAACCACTTTTTTGCAATGGTTAAAAATTTTAAGGCATGTCATATATGTTTATGAGACTGGACAAGGATATTTGGGATCAGAGAGTTCATATGGATTTGAAGCACAGTGTATGGGTGTTTATATTTAACATCCTCATGAAATAATTTGAAATGGCCTCATATATTTGGTATTATCATCCTGGGGCTCCATTTTGCTTGTTTCAGGTATTCTTTGCACATGCTTAGACTTCCAATACACATTAAGAAAGAAAAATATAACAGTATTTTGTTTAATTAAAAGGGAGATGAAGTCCAGTCTTCATCTGTTTCTTCATGTTAATTGTTGTTTTCACAGCACAGCAGAGATTAATGTCATTTCATAATCCTTATTACCTCATTTGATCACTTCTCATAACATCCTTCCAATTGTACAAGTGACAGAAGTTGGCATGGAAGCAGGGTCCTGCATAAGCTTATGCATCCGATAATGGTGCATAATGATAATGGAGCCTCTCTATTTTGAAGGCCTAATGTGTGCCACCGCCTGTCCTGGGCACTGTTGGAAATTTGAAAATCTCACAATTCTAGAGGACAAGGATATTTACACAATTTTCTTTTTTTTTTTAAAGAGCTTTTGGGTGTTTTTTTTTTTTAAGATCTTATTTATTTTTTCATAAGACACACCAGAGAGAGGCAAAGACACAAGCAGAGGGAGAAGCAGGCTCCATGCAGGGAGCCGGATGCAGTAGTCAATCCCAGGACTCCAGGATCACACCCCGAGCAGAAGGCAGACGTTTAACTGCTGAGCTACGCAGGTGGCCTATAATTACACAATTTTCAAAACCTAATGTTAAATTTTAAACACGTATTCAAAAGACTATATTCTGGAAACAGTAAAAGGAAGTAGACTAGATCAGAAAGTTAAGAGTGGGGGGACATTTGGGCACTAAGAGGTTGTTTCCTGGGGGGGGGGATGGAGTGTTCTGTATTTTTACTATGGTAGTACAAGTATGAATTTATGAAAACCCACAGAACTATACTTACAATGGCCAGTTTTACTTTTAAGATGAATTATTAGAAAACAAGGCAACAAATACATGAACTAAAGGGAAATTTAGACTCACCTACACCTTGATGTTTAGGTGAACAATGACAGTCCTTCCCACCCCCTAAAGACTTGTGACCCATCAGGCCTTTCTTGCAACTCATCTGAAGTTAGAAAACACTCCAGGGTCACACCTGTCCACACCTTAGTCACGTTACCTGAAGGAAACGAAAGGGAACCAGCAAAGTGTCTCTAGGCTTACACTGTGTTCCTGGGGCCAGAACTCTCGGGAATTCTGTGGCTTACAATGTAAAAGCAATTCCAGAGCATTCTCAAGGAGATCCCCCGGGGGTGGGGCGGGGGGGGGAGTCGGCCTGGTGGTGGGTACACACATTCGGTCCTGTCTGAGGCCATCTGCAGCTCCAGGCGGACCACCTGACCTCTCCGGGTCGGAGCCAACTCTGACCTGCACCGCGGAAAATCTTTGCTGCCAATGGACCCCAGAGGCGCTCCGCTGGTCATTCCTCCGCAGCAGCTCCACGTGGCTGCAATGAGAGTCCGGAGGAGAGTGTGACAGTGACGCGCATCCTTCCAACAGGGCGACGGCCCCCGCGGGACCTCAGCAACCTGCCAGCCAGGCAACTTGGACTTCCATCCGCCCCAGACCTGACCCATACCACGTGCGCCACGTGCTCAGCAGGACGCGACGCCCACAGCCATGCGCATGCGCGCCCCGCCCACTGCGCCCTCGCTCCCGTGCTGAGCTGGGCGGCGTCGCGCACGCGCAGTCGACCCCCCGGGCTTTCTCGCTTCCGAGCTCCCCAACAGCTCCAGGGAGAATCTGCAGAACCCTTCCCGCCGCACGCCGTGCTCGCTCCCGACCCTGAGCCCCCGCGGCTCCCACCGTGGAAATGCGGTTCGTGCGGTGTCCAGAGTGCTCCCGGCAGGCAGCGCGGGCGCAGTCACGGCGGAGGCGGGCGTGCGCGGGCCCAGGCTCGTGCCGCCGGGCGCTCCTCTCCAGGAGCTTCGGGGAGAACGCGCAGTCGCAGTTGTCGTCTGGGTGGGCTCGGGATGCTGAGGAGCCGTCCCGGAAGTCCCGCCCCCGCGCCTACCTACCAGCTTCCGGGTGGCTCCTCGGTCGCGGAAGTCGTCGCCGGTAGCCTGGAAACGGGCTGTCCTGGCTTTCCTCCCAGGGGATGCGGTGAGTGCGCGGGCCTGCGAGGCCGCAGGGCCGGCGGCGGGAGCGCACCCGGGGACGCGAACACCGAGGGGAGCACCGCGGGGAGCGCCGGGGCGGAGCAGGGGTGCGGGGAGGGGGCGGATCGAAGTAGGACCCCCCCCCCCAATCCAGGTGTCAGGGGCTGAGAACCCGTCTCCCCGCAGAAACCTACAGCACAGCGAGGCCCTGGCGGCTGGCGGCTCTTGACTGTCCAGGCGGCGGGCTCTTGGGTACCGGGCGCTGACGACACCATCGCCCGCCGCCGGTCATGGAGACGGGGGGCTGCGCTGGGCGCAGGGGGGCTTTGTGCACAGTGCGGGTTCTGCGGTGTGATCGCCCATTTTCCAGCAGGTCAGCCGAAGTATCCTTCGGGAATTCACTTGGGAGCCCGCGGGAACCCTGTACTGTTTGGCATGGGGAACCCAACCCTTCACTCTGGGCAGACCAGAGGGATGTGAGCCCCTGAATATGTTGGTATAGGTGTGTGTGTCCGCGTGAACCCGGCCTTTCAGTAAGCATTTAGGCTGTGGACTGGGTGCTGTGGGTTGACCAGTGATCAGGACAGAGGGAGTATCTCTTCCTACTTGCAGCTGAATTTTTTTTTTTTAAGATTTTATGTATTTATTCAGGAAAGACAGGAGAGACAGAAGACAGAAGCAGGCTCCATGCCGGGAGCCTGACGCGGGACTCGATCCCAGGAATCCAGGATCATGCCCTGGGCCAAAGGCAGGTGCTAAACCGCTGAGACACCCCCTGCAGCTGAAATTCTTAAGGACACCTCATCAAAGTACAAGGTGTATCGGACGGTGATAGTTTCTTTTTTTTTTATTTTAAAGATTTTATTTATTATTTATTCATGAGAGACACAGGCAGAGGGCGAGGGAGAAGCGGGCTCCATGCAGGGAGCCCGACATGGAACTCGATCCTGGGTCTCTGGGATCAGGCCCTGGGCCGAAGGCGGTGCTAAACCACTGAGCCACCCGGGCTGCCCAGTTCTAAAGGGAAAAAGAAAGTTGAAGAAGAGTGCAAAGGGCCTGGGCTGCGTTGGTGTCTCTTGGAGGTCAGTCAGTGTCTTTTCAGAGTGTGTGAAGCTTTATTCCAGGTTTCAAAGTCTAGATGATTGTGTCTGTCTGGGGGCCACATGGGACTTGGCTGGCATTGTCCGTGTGGTGGAGTTGTGTTCACATAGGAGTGTCTGTGAGTCTCCTGCATTTACTGTGATGAGAGCAGTTCTTTGTCTCTGTGTTTCGCATGCTGTGTGTAGTAAGGTGATGTTGGCCATTTCTTCACTGGAAACAGGGTCTGTTCAATTCTTCTCTCTGTTTTTGAATTAGGTTGTTTGTTTTGCTATTGAGTTGTGTGTGGGTTCTTTATCAGATACGTGACTTTGCAATGATTTTCTCTCATTCTGTTGGTTGTCTCTTCATTTTTTTGATGGAGAAAAGTTTCAGGTAACTAAAAGTACAGCAGTCTCAACCACCTAACACCCATTAGGATGGCTACTTTAAAAAAAAAACAAAACAAAACAAAAAACAACCCAGAAAATAACAAGTGAAGATGTGGAGAAATGGGAAGTCTTGTGTACTGGGTGTAGGAATGTAATGTGGAATTGCTAATGAAAATAGTATGTCTGAAGAAAAAAGAAAATAGTATGGCTGTCTTCAAAATATTAAAAATTGAATTACTGTGTGATCCAGTAGTTGTACTTCTGAGTATATACCCCCAAAAATTGAAAGTAGGGACTAGATATTAGTACATCCATGCTCGTAGAAGCACTATTCATAATAGCAAAAGGGTGGAAGCAACCCAGATGTCCATCGATGGATGGATGGATAAATGAAATGTGGTGTATATATACAATGGGATATGATTCAGCCTTAAGGAAGGAAATTCTAACACATACTACAAAATGAATAAGCCTTGAAAACATTATGCTAAATGAAATAAGACAGTTACCAAAAGACTGATACATGGTGGTTGCCAGAGTTCAGGTCGTGATGGGGGGAATGGGGAGTTCTTGTTAAATAGGTTGAGTCTCAGTTTTGCAACATGAAAACAGTTCTGGAGGTGGATGGTGCTGATAGCTGCACAACAGTGTGAATGTACTTGGTGACCCTGAACTGCACCCTTTAAAATGGTTAAGATAGTAAATTTTATGTTTTGTATTTTACCACAATTAAAAATATATAAAAGTATCTCAATTTAACAACCAAATTCATGCTTCATACAATAATAGTCTCCTCTGGAATGGAGGAAAGGGCCTGTCATCTTATGCTAGAGTGTTTGTTATCTGCTGCTGCATAGTATCACTTCAAAACCTACAGATTAAAACATTTATTTTGCTAACAAACCTGCCATTTGACCAGGACTGGGTATTGACATATCTGCTCCATTCCATCACCACACTAGAACCAGTTGGAGTGTACTTTTGGCCAACTAGTTTTTACAGTTCCTACCATCTCTTTTTATCCTGGAGGTCATAGGGAACTTTATAGCAAATAGCAGGGTTGACACATGAAACAATACAATATCGTTTTTTTCCCTTTTAGCAAAAGTGCCCTTTTTAGTTCACCATCAGCAAATATGGTCTCTATCCAGTCTGAAAGAAAATCAAAACCAAGTCATAAAAAGACAAGGTTATTACGTTTGGTTGGACTCTGAAAATCAGAATTCATTGTCTTTTCTTTTCTTGTAAAACAGTGTTTCTTTAGTTTCATTTTCTGGGATTTGAGGATATGCATTATTAGTAGTCATTACTAGATGGGAGCAGAGAGTATCAGTCAGATTTCACTAGAGGATTAAACCAGCTCAAGCATCTCGACAGCATGTGTTTTTTGGAGGCTTTAGGATGCTGCTTACGCCAAGGCTGCTGCTGAGGCACCTCACCCTTGCACACATAAGGGACTTGTGTGCCCCTACAAAAGCCTCTACCTATGACCCTGAGTTCTGCCAAATGGCTGCTAGTGTGCCTAATGCTTTTTTCAGACAACAGGCTATCATATTGTACGATCTGGCCCTGTGATCACAGCAATTTTCTCATTTTGCATCTCTCTCTGTATGTGGACCTGAGCCAAGCCAACTTGGTGGCTTCATTCTCTTTTTCTGAGAACATTCCTACCCATAAATGTGAGTCTGCTAGGTCGTGTGTTACCTCTTTCCCTTAGTTAGGAAATTTACATGGAAGTGAAATATATGTAAGTTGCCGTATCATGCCTTACATATAACTTTTTTTCCAAACAAACTAAACATAAATGTGAAAACTTAAACAATTTAAGAAGAAATCACAAGAGATCATCTTCATGAATTTGGAATAGGCAAAAATTTCTTAAACAGAACACAAAAATAATAATCATGGAGAATAGAGTGCACTGTAAGTAAGAAGTGCCCCCTGCCCAAAAAAAGTCAACATTCATAGAGTAAAAGAGCAGCCCAGAGAATAGAAAGAAGAAGTTTCAATCTGTATATATGGCAAAGGACTTGTACCCAAAATATATCACATGCCCCTGCAAGTTAATAAGAAAAGTGCAGGCAATGCAAAAGAAAATGAATCCTTCACAAAGGAAGATATTCAAATAGCTAGTATAGAGAGGGAGACAGAACATGGAAGACTCCTAACTCTGGGAAACGAACTGGGGGTGGTGGAAGGGGAGGAGGGCGGGGGGTGGGGGTGACTGGGTGGCAGGCACTGAGGGGGGCACTTGACGGGATGAGCACTGTTATTCTGTATGTTGGCAAATTGAACACCAATAAAAAATAAATGTATTATTAAATAAATAAAGAACAAATAGCTAGTATAGATTTAACTTAGCTATAATTAATGATAATTATAGATGTATAACTAGAATAGAAATGTTCAATTTGGTTAGTCATCAGGAAAATACAAGTTAAAAGCACAATGAGATAGCAGTACGTCCTCACCAGAGTTGTTAAAATAAATATATACAAAATACTGGCAGGAGAATGCCAGTGAAGATGTAGAGTGACTGGAATTCTCCCACACTGTGGAGTGTAAGTTGATATAACCACTTTGGAAAAGTGTTTCCAGTATCCGCTAATACTGAGAGTATGCGTTCCCCATGTCCCGTGTGTGTGTGTGTGTGTGTGTGTGTGTATACATACATACATATTCCAAATAGAAATGCATATATACTTTTACCAAGAAGGTACTTGCTAGAATGACCAACGCATTGCTATTTATAATAGCCCTACATTGGGAACTACTTATATCCATCAACAATAGAATGGATATTGTCAGGTAATAACAGAATAAAAATCAAAACAAGACAAAACAAACAGCTGGAGACTGACTTACAATGTTGCTTGGAAACCCAGATACACAAAAATATGTCATGTAATTCTAATTAAAGAAAATACAAACTACGTGAAACCCATTCATGCTCTCATCTTTTGAGGATAGTGACTGGAAGGGAGCATGAATGGTTCTCCAGGTG